TTAAATAGAAATAATATGAAGTGTTTTCTCAGACCATAGCAGTATATAACTAGAAATCAATTCGAAGAGGAACTCTCAAACCTGTAAAAATTAGAAATCAAACAACCTGCTCCTGAATGATCTTTGAGTTCACAATGAAATCAAGATAGAAATTAAAATTGTTTGGAATGATTGATAACAGTGACAGAAGTTATCAAAATCTCAGATACAGCAAAAGCAATACTAAGAGGGAAGTTTGTAGTGCCAAATACCTTCATCAAAAAGACAGATCACAAATTGACAATGTAATAATATCACACCTCAAGGAACTAAAAAAACAGGAAGAAACCAAACCCAAAGCTAGCAGAAGAAAAGAAATAACAAAGAACAGAACTAAACAAAATTGAAACCAAAAAATACAAAGGATCAATAAAATTAAAAGTTGTTTCTTTGAAACGATAAACAAAAATGATAGACCAGTAGCTAGATTAGCTGTGAGAGGATTCAAGTAAGCTTAGTCAAAAATGAAAAGGGAGATACCATAACTGATACCACAGAAATACAAAAGATCATCTGAGACTACTGTGAACACTTATATGTATACAAACCAGAAAATCTAGATGAACTGAATAAATTCCTGGAACACACGACCCCCCAAGCTTGAACCAGGAACAAACAGAAATCTTGAACAGACCAATAGCAAGTAGTTTGACTGATAGTGATTTAAAAAGTCTCCCAACCAAAACATCCCAGGTCCAGATGGATTCACAGCCAAATTCTACCAGACATTCAAAGAACTGATACCAATTCTACTGGAACTATTCCAAAAGATCAAGAAGGAAGGAATCCTCTCTAACTCATTCTACAAAGCCAGTCTCAGCCTGATGCCAAAGCCAGGAAAGGACACAACAAAAAAAGAAAACTGCAGACCAGTATCCCTGATGAACATAGATGCAAAAGTCCTCAACAAAGTACTAGCAAAACCAAACTGAACAGCATATCAAAAAGATAATTCAGCACAATCAAGTGGGTTTCATCCCAGTGAGGCAAGGATGGCTCAGCATACACAAGTCAATAAATGTGATTCACCACATAAACCAAATTAAAAACCCTATGATCATTTCAATAGATGTAGAAAAAGCATTTGATAAAATCCTGTATCCCTTTGTGGTAAAAACCCTCAACAAATTAGGCATAGAAAGAACGTACCTCAAAATAATAAAAGCCATATATGACAGACTCACAGCCACTATCATACTGAAGAGAGAAAAGCTGAAAGCATTCCCCCTCAGAACTGGAACGAGGCTGGGCACAGTGGCTCATGCTTGTAATCCCAGAGCTTTGGGAGGCCAATTCAGGAAGATCACTTGAGTCCAGGAGTTCCAGACCAGCTTGGGCAATATAGTGGGACTCTTTCTCTAAAAAAATTTTAAAATTTGCTGGCCATGAAGATACATGCTTATAGTCCTAGTTACTCAAGAAGTTGAGGTGGGAGTTCAGGAGTTCAAGGTTACAGTGAGTTATGATCATGCCATTGCACTCCAGCCTGGACAATACAGTGAAACCCTCTCTCTAAAAAAAGAAAATAAGAAAATAATTTCTTTTTTTTTTTTTTTTTTGAGATGGAGTCTCGCTCTGTCACCCAGGCTGGAGTTCAGTGGCATGATCTTGGCTCACCACAAGCTCTGCCTCCTGGGTTCACGCCATTCTCCTGCCTCAGTCTCCCGAGTAGCTGGGACTACAGGTGCTCACCACCACGCCCAGCTAATTTTTGTATTTTTAGTAGAGATGGGGTTTCACCGCGTTAGCCAGGATGGTCTTGATCTTCTGACCTTGTGATCCGCCTGCCTCGGTCTCCCAAAGTGCGTGAGCCACTGTGCCCGGCCAAGAAAATTTCTTAATGTAGTTCCTTTTGTTAGATCCCAGTGAGGTAAATGTGGCAAAAAGCCCAAAGGAAAATATTTTTTGTGTGTGAATATGTGGAATGTCTCCATTGACATAAGATGATTTTTCTAATATAAGTTTATATTTGTAGTTGACAATGTAATGAAAGTTAGAGATGTTCAGTGAGCAGCTATAATATTCAAGGATAACATCAATCACAGAAGGCAACTGTCATGTTTTCCTACAATTATCCGATTGTCAGAGTGAATAGTAAGCTAGGTGGATTGACTCTGTAATGTATTTCACATCTTTTTATGTAACAGCATCTGACTCTTCATTTATTTTAGAACTGAAGGAATATGTGTTGTAGCAAGAAGACACAGCTACCGATAAAATCCTTATCTAAAGAATTATTAGGCTGGGCGTAGGGGCTCACACTTGTAATTCCAGCACTTTGGGAGGTTGAGGCTGGTGGATCACCTGAGGTCAGGAGTTCAAGACCGACCTGACCAACATGGCAAAACCCCGTCTCTACTAAAAATACAAAAATTACCCAGATGTGGTGGTACGCATCTGTAGTCCCAGCTACTTGGGAGGCTGAGGCAGGAGAATTGCCTGAACCTGGGAGGTGGAGGTTGCAGTGAGCCAAGATCCCACCAGTGTACTCCAGCTTGGGTGACAGTCTCAAAAAAAAAAAACCCACAAAGAATTGTTAGATAATGTATTTTCTGCTAGGAAGTTAATTTAGGGAAGCAATACCTGAAGATTAAGGCAGAAAATGCCCACCTACTTCTCTTTTCTATTAGATGAATATACCTTGTCAGTAGAGGGCTGACAATGTCAGAGATTGAATGAATAAGTGTAACACACACACACACACCCCGTCTCCCTATACATGAAATAGAGAACCAGGGATGTGTGGAGAATTGGGTCAAAAGCAAGAATATGTGAGAGGAAAGGGCCTCATAAACTTCTGTTAAGCAAATTGCTCCCTTTCGTATGTGTAAGGTTACTACAAAAATGGAAGGGGAATAAAAGTTTCTCTCACTGAAGAAAAGTGGGGGCCAGGCGCGGTGGCTCATGACTGTAATCCCAGCACTTCGGGAGGCCGAGGTGGGTGGATCACCTGAGGTTAGGAGTTCGAGACCAGCCTGGCCAACATGGCGAAACCCCATCTCTACTAAAAATACAAAAAAAATTAGCTGGGCATGGTGGTGGGTGCCTGTAATCCAGCTACTCAGGAGGCTGAGGCAGGAGAATCATTTGAACCTGAGAGGTGGAGGCTGCAGTGAGTCAAGATCGCACCACTGCACTCCAGCCTGGGCAACAGATAAAGGCTCCCTCTCAAAAGAAAAAAGAAAAGTGGGAACGTTTCTCTTAATATGTAAATCTTGGCTGGGCGCAGTGGCTCACACCTGTAATCCCACCACTTTGGGAGGCTGAGGCTGGTGGGTCACGAGGTCAGGAGATCGAGACCATCCTGGCTAACACGGTGAAACCCTGTCTCTACTAAAAACACAAAAAATTAGGTAGGCATAGTGGCATGTGCTTGTAGTCCCACCTATTCGGGAGGCTGAGGCAGGAGAATTGCTTGAACCCTGGAGGCAGAGGTTCCCATGAGCCAAGATCGTGCCATTGCACTCTGGCCTGGGCAACAGAGCGAGACTGTCTCAAACAAAAAACAAAAACCATGTAACTCTTCCCAAGCTTTTCTTCTTATTTTTACCTTTCTAAAATGTAGGGGAGATAATCTAAGTATTTTCGTCCTATTCTGTTCACTGATCTTGGTAATCCAGGCTTCCAGCTATAAAACTTACCATAATCAAATATAGTATAAGGAAATTCCTTTGCTGGCTGTGTTGCTTAACGGCCTCTATAGTTCTGAGTAGGGTGATCACCCATCCCAGTTTTAGCACTGAAAGTCATCCATCCTGGGAAATGCCTCAGTACTGGGCAAACCAGGACAGTTGGTCACTCTCATGCTGAGTTGGGGGGAAAGCATGTAAGAAGGGAGGAAACCAAGGAAAATGAGAAGTCCTGAGGTATGAAGAGAACTTTTTTTCCTTTTGAAGCATATTTACTATAGCTAGGAAAATTGAAAATTAATAAGCTTGTGTCAGTGTGCTTAGTAGCGAATTAGTGATTTGCTGCATTAAGGGTGAATATTAAGTAGGCCTCTGGCCAGGCACAGTAGCCTGTAATCCCAGCACTGTGGAGGCCGAGGTGGCAGGATCACTTGAGCCCAGAAGTTTGAGAACAGCCTGTAGAACAAAGTGAGACCCCGTCTCTACAAAAAATAATAAACAAACATCAGCCAGGTGTGGTGGCGTGTGTCTGTAGTCCCAGCAACTTGGGAGGCTAAGGCAAGAAGATTGCTTGAGTTCAGGGGGTTGAGGCTGCAGTGAACCAAGATCATAGCACTGTACTCTGGTCTGGGCAACAGAGTGAGACCCTGTCTATAAAAAACAAACAAACAAAAAGGTAGACCCCTGTGTTTACTCCTGCATTCTTCAGGACCCATACTAAAAGACATGTTGGGAAATAAGAATGCAGAATGCTATAATGGTTTTGAATCCTCTTGAACATAGAAGAACGTTTTGCCTTCAGTGGAGGGCTTTTGTTCTAAGATGCAGTCTCTTTCCTGCTGTAAGGTAACCTTATTTTAGGAAGTGGAGATACAAACTTTTTTTTTTTTTGAAGACTAAGAGTCTTGCTTTGTAACCTAGGCTGGAGTGCAGTGGTACGATCTCAGCTCACTGCAACCTCTGCCTCCCAGGTTCAAGCAATTCTCTTGCCTCACCCTTTTGAGTAACTGGGACTACAGGCGTGTGCCATCACACCCAGCTAATTTTTGTATTTTTAGTAGAGACGGGGTTTCACCATGCTGGCCAGGCTGGTCTCAAACTCCTGACTTCAAGTGATCTGCCCATCTTGGACTTCCAAAGTGCTGAGATTACAGGCGCGAGCCACCACACCCAGCCACGACATTTTTACTTTCAAATATAGGGCCTTTATGCAATTGCAGACCACTGTAAACATTATTTGTCTGTGTCTATATTTGATACTTATACTCCAGCTCTGTTTTGATTAGCAAGAAAAAAAAAGAAAAGAAAGAAAAATATAGTTAATACTAAGAGTAAGACTTCCTGTAACATACTTGGCTGACCAATTTTGGGTTGTACTTTTGCCTTGGTGTCTCTCAACAAGCTTATCTTTCTTCCTTAGTCTTGTTCTTGGTTTCTTATCTTACAGAGAGGTGTGGGAAATGGAACTGGATAGACTCAAGAATCAGGATGGCGAAATAAATAGGAACATTATGGAAGAGACTGAACGGGCCTGGAAGGCAGAGGTGAGAAGAGGAGCTGATATCTTGAAAGTCTTAATTTCAGGCTTCCAGATGGTGTCTACTTTTGGCATAGTAATAGGAGAGCCAGTAAGCTTTTGTTTTCACTACCTAGGGGTAGCTTTGTGTATGTAAAATTAATAAAGTATTTATATGTGTGTGGCTTCCTTAGATCTTATCACTAGAGAGCCGGAAAGAGTTACTGGTACTGAAACTAGAAGAAGCAGAAAAGGAGGCAGAATTGCACCTTACTTACCTCAAGTAAGTACCGTTCTATTCTAGAGCTTTAATTGTCTTGCAGTTTGTTTGTTTGTTTAGGTTTTTTAATTCCTAGGCCAGGTAGTCTGGCACTTACTCTGTCTGCACAGGAATTTTAAGGCTATCTCTGTCTGCAGTAGCGATTGCTCAGTGATTTTTCTTCCCACATTCTAAAGTTCTTTACTCTTCGCTTCTACAGTTTTAAAGTTTTGCATTTTTTAATGTTTTGTTTCCATTTCGATAAACACTATCTGTTAAAGCCAGATATAATAGCATGCTCCTGTAATCCTGCACTTTGGGAGGTCAAGGCAGGAGGATGACTTGTGCCCAGGAGGTTGAGGCTGCAGTGAGCTTTGATTGCACCACTGCACTCCAGCCTAGGCGACAGTGAGACCCTGTCTCTAAAAAATAAAAAATAACCAGCATCTGTTAACCTATCAAAGCATAACACTGGTCTTTGGAGATTCATTTCCTATGTAGTCATTTATTTTCTTTCTGCCATGGAACTTGGAGGACCCCTGTGGCATTTTCAGGCAGACAAGAACGTTCTCTCTGTTGTTGGTTCTCTTTCTCAAATACTTAAAAGATACTGGAGTTAAAGTGAGGCAAAGGAATTAGAGTCTTGAGCTTCTCCTGCACCTGCTTCCACCTCTTTTTCTCAACGGCAGTTAGCCAGCTACTATTTTGCTTTTGCTATCTCAGAGAATTAGGAATTGGACTTTTTTTTTTTTTTTTTTAAGACAGGGTCTCCCTCTGTAGTGCAGTGGTACCATCTTGGCTCACTGCAGCCTCTGGCTTCTGAGCACAAGCCATCCTCCTACCTCAGCCTCCCAAGTAGCTGGGACTACAGGCGCGAGCCACCACACCTGGCTAATTTTGCATTTTTTTAAGAGACAGGGTTTAGCCACATTGCCTAGGCTGGTCTGGAACTCCTGAGCTCAAGTGATCTGCCCGCCTTGGCCTCTCAAAGTGCTGGGATTACAGGCGTGAGTCACTGTGCCCAGCAGGGCTTTCTTTAAATCTGTAAATTCCTATTGGTTTCTTGAAAGGTCAACTCCCCCAACACTGGAGACAGTTCGTTCCAAACAGGAGTGGGAGACAAGACTGAATGGAGTTCGGATAATGAAAAAGAATGTTCGTGTAAGTGTATTTATGAGTCATCATTCAGTCAGTGTTAGTCTGTGCTCAACACTTCCCGCAATCGGGAGATAGCCTTTTACATTGCCATTTAGGGCAATGCAACTACTATTCCTTTAATAGTTTTCCTGATAATGGATGGTGCTGTCTTTCTAGAGAGCCTCAGTCAGTTCAGCAGTAAAAATAATCTTTTTTTTTTTAGGACCAATTTAATAGTCATATCCAGTTAGTGAGGAATGGAGCCAAGCTGAGCAGCCTTCCTCAAATCCCTACTCCCACTTTACCTCCACCCCCATCAGAGGTAAGAGAGCTGGCTTTGGGGGGAAGTTCACCTTTCTGTGTTGGTAGCAGAAGCAGAGTCTTCTACGTGTTCTTTTTATGAAGATGCTGGGATCATCCGTATTCACTGCAAGAGTTGTTCATTGATTTCTTCTCCAGTTTCGTAAACTTTCTTTTTTTTCCTTTCTCTCTTGTCCTCTACCTCTTCTCCTCTGCAGACAGACTTCATGCTTCAGGTGTTCCAACCCAGTCCCTCTCTGGCTCCTCGGATGCCCTTCTCCATTGGGCAGGTCACAATGCCCATGGTTATGCCCAGTGCAGATCCCCGCTCCTTGTCTTTCCCAATTCTGAACCCTGCCCTTTCCCAGCCCAACCAGCCTTCCTCATCCCTTCCTGGCTCCCATGGCAGAAACAGCCCTGGCTTGGGTTCCCTTGTCAGCCCCCACGGTCCACACATGCCCCCTGCCGCCTCCATCCCGCCTCCCCCAGGCTTGGGCGGTGTTAAGGCTTCTACTGAAACTCCCCGGCCCCAACCAGTAGACAAACTGGAGAAGATCCTGGAGAAGCTGCTGACTCGGTTCCCACAGTGCAATAAGTAAGTATCTTCAAGGACTGATTCAGATGTCTTTATCAGAGAAATGCTTATGGGTTAAAATAGAGGAGGTTACATGGGTGTTCCCTGTGGGTATAGTGTAGGCTTTCTGTCCCTCAACGTTTTTCTTTCTCAGGGCCCAGATGACCAACATTCTTCAGCAGATCAAGACAGCACGTACCACCATGGCAGGCCTGACCATGGAGGAACTTATCCAGTTGGTTGCTGCACGACTGGCAGAGCATGAGCGGGTGGCAGCAAGTACTCAGGTGAGAAAAGCCACTTGGGAGAGAACTGAGGCCTGCTGAGGGCTGGAGAAGAGGTAGATTTCTTGTGGGGAGGGAAGAAGCATTCCAGTCAGAGGTGGCTAGTCTGCTTTTTTCCTTTGCTGGACTGGGAAATAAGTGATTTTTGTGATATGCTGTGTTACTCAGACTCTCTTCCCTTACTCTGACAATGTTTCTACCTACAGCCACTTGGTCGCATCCGGGCCTTGTTCCCTGCTCCACTGGCTCAAATCAGTACTCCAATGTTCTTGCCTTCTGCCCAAGTTTCATATCCTGGAAGGTCTTCACATGTAAGACTCTTTTTCTTTGAACACTGTAATATGGAGAAGCTGGAGGTGAGGAAGGAGTGGGTTTACAGGTGGAGTGCAGGAAGAAACCATCAGTTGAGTTATTTGTAGCCCTACTGGGAAAATGCAAATATTTTAGGCAAGAATCTATATTTGGATTTTTATTTATTTTGATATAAATCTTTTTGCTACATGGAATTATGGGCATAAAAGGCAAGAAGACCCAGAGGTTCCTTACCTTTTGACCATGCCGCCTCTGTTCTACAGGCTCCAGCCACCTGTAAGCTATGTCTAATGTGCCAGAAACTCGTCCAGCCCAGTGAGCTGCATCCAATGGCGTGTACCCATGTATTGCACAAGGAGGTAGGTGTTACAGACCTTCCTCATTGTCTACACTTTCTCTTCTGACAGCTAAAATAATTTTTCTTTCTCATTTTCTACTCTTTTTTTTCCTGATAGCTAAAATAACTTCTCTTTTACTGTGTTGGTGCTTTTTTTTTTTTTTCTTTAGACAAGAGTCTTGCTCTGTTGCCCAGGCTGGAGTGCAATGGTGTGATCTCAGCTCACTGCAACCTCCACCTCTCAGGTTCAAGTGATTCTTCTGCCTCAGCCTCCTCAGTAGCTGGGACTACAGGCGCCTGCCAACACGCCTGGCTAATTTTTGTGTTTTTAGTAGAGACGGGGTTTCACCATATTGGCCAGGCTGGTCTCAAACTCCTGACCTTGTGATCCGCCCATCTCGGCCTCCCAAAGTGTTGGGAGTACAGGCGTGAGCTACCATGCCCAGCCTTTTTTTGTTTGTCTTTTGAGACAGCCTTTTTTTGTTTGTCTTTTTATTCTGTTGCCCAGCCTGGAATGCAGTGGCATGATTATAGCTCACTACAGCCTCAATCTCCTAGGCTCAAGGTGCTTCAGTCTCTTGAGTAGCTGAGACTACAGGTACATGCCATCATGCCCAGCTAATTTTTTTTTCTTTTTTAGTAGAGACAAGGTCTTGTTATGTTGCCTAGGCTGTCTCAAACTCCTGGGCTCAGGTGATCCTCCTGCCTCAGCCTCCCGAAGTGCTGGGATTACATGTGTGAGCCACTGCACCTGGTCTCTAATGTCTACTCATAAGGTTTTCAGTAAATTGTGGCTTAAACATTAGCAGAATTCAGAATACTGCAGTTAGGATCTCTCAACTTTTTACCCCATTCCCTTCAGGGGACTGGATAAGCAATTCATACTGAGCACTAAATCACTTTCCTGGAAAATTGACAATGAGTGATAATCCCACATATCTAACTATTGTTCAAAATATAGCATTGTCAGAAGACTTTGCCTAGATGAGAGGAATGGAATGGAGGACCTGAGTATGAGATTAGGAACTCCATTACAGAATAGCTTGGAAGGCTTGCCGGTTAGAGATTGTCTTCACAGGCTGACAAGTCATTCCTATTTTTTCATGTTGCCAGGCAGAGTTAAGTCTCTTAGTAGCAGGGATGATTTCCTCTTAACCATTTTGTTTTGTTCATTTTGCTTTTCCAAGAGGTAGAAACTGAATTTACATCTAAATTCTTAGTAAGAAAAATTCCTGAATAAGATTTGAGGGTGTCAGGTATTAGAACAGAGACGTTCATCTCAGGTGAAATGGATCCTAAGGGGGAGCAAGCCGCACTAGACAGTCAACAAAAAGCAGCATCATGAACACTTTCATCAGCTCATTGTTAATGTTCCTCTTAAAAAGGTTCACTTGCACTGAGGATTCTTTTAGGGTAAGAGCCATTGAATAGCCCTTCTTGGGGCCGGACGCGGTGGCTCACACCTGTAATCCCAGCACTTTGGGAGGCTGAGGCAGGCAGATCACTTGAGGCCAGAGTTTGAGACCAGCCTGGCCAACAAAGTGAAACCCCATCTCTACTAAAAATACAAAAATTAGCCGGGAATGGTGGTGGATGCCTGCCTGTAATCCCAGCTACTCGGGAGGCTGAGGCAGGAGAATAGCTTGAACCCAGGAAGCAGAGGTTCCAGTGAGCTGAGATCGCACCACTGCATTCCAGCCTGGTCAATAGAGTGAGACTCTGTCTCAAAAAGAAAAAAAAGAAAAAAGAAAAAAAAGCCCCTCTTGTACCTCAGTGTAAGAACTTTTCTGACTTAGGCCTTGTTGAACCTTATTGGCATTCTCTCCTTCCTTCCCTTTGTCTTTTCAGATAAACCTGAGGTGTGTCTTTCTTTCTTTCCAGTGTATAAAATTCTGGGCCCAGACCAACACAAATGACACTTGTCCCTTTTGTCCAACTCTTAAATGACGGACCTGACTGGGGAGGAAGAAGAAGAGAAACTGATGTGAACAGGAAGCGCGGGTTCAAGATTTCTAAAACTCTATATTTATACAGTGACATATACTCATGCCATGTACATTTTTATTATATAGGTAATGTGTGTATAGAAAGTCTGTATTCCAATGTTCGTAAATGAAAGTATGTATATTATGCAGAAACAGTCTGTTCCCCCTCATCTTGCAATTCCTTTGGGGGATGCAGATTGTAGGGAAGATGATGTTTAGTTTGGCCTTGAAATTATGATATCCCTGCCCAGGGCTGTTTTCAAATACAATATAAAAACCACCTAGGAACCTGCTGTTGCTCTAAGGCCATTCTGCTTTGGTTTGGCTCAGCCTCTAGTCCATTTTCTTAAGGCTCATGTATGCAGATATAAAGCCTGGTGCTCACCCACTGTCCAACCAGATGCCTTGCTTACTGAAAGCCTCCAGAAGCCTCAGTATTGTTTTAGCCACTCTACTCCAAATGGATAAAATGAGACTCTGATTGAGGAAAAAAAAGTAACCCTAGTAGTTTGACTTCTTATTGAATATTTTACTGTGTTAACGCTCATTATTTATACAGACGTTAGGTTTACAGAATATTCTGTTTTACATCACCAAAATTCACAGTCCGAGAATAACAACATAACCAGGTCCCAGTTCCTCCATGCACCCCACAAGCTTCTGTCCAGTCTATTTTCTGGATAGAAATTAGCACAACCCACAGGTTTTTCCTGGGCCAAGCCTTCCTTTGCTGCCACTGGCTTGGCTTCTAATCAAGCTCTGACCAGCCAACATTGTGAAGTCCTCACCCTTTCCCATTCACTTCTGGTCTCCTAGTCTAGCTAATCCCCCTCCCCCTGAAGGTTAAGGCAGTTGGTTCACAACCAAGTTGTTTGGTGACCTTGGGTGAGCTCCAGACAGGCACTGGGGTGAGGAGATGTCTGTGCAAAATTACTTGCAGAATGATCTTGGGATGCTGGATTTTAATTTTTGAAGCAAGAAAGTTATGGGGGACATATTTCCTGTCCTGGGAACAATGGAGACCAAAGTGATATTAAGAAAACAGTTTGGATTTCAAATTTATAAATCACTTGCTCTATGGGTAGCTATCAGGAACTAGATCATTTTCCACCTCTGCTTGTCGTACTTCTTAATTTTAGGTTTTATACCTGGGAAAGCTGTGACTCTGTTAGAGCTTTGAATCTTTTCCTATCCTTTTATCTTTACTCCTACAGGGAATGGCCTCAGCTCCCTTCTCTTTTAGAATTAAACAAGTAAAAACTAAGAGTTAACTTTTTAAAAAAACTGACTCCAGGCAAAGGACTAGCAATAGCTGATTTTTTTTTCCATTATGGGACCTAAAATGCTTACAGGTATTAGCAATACATGTCAGATAGCAAAGACTTTTCCTTTCAGACCCAACTAAATGATCTCCTCTCTGCTTTTGATACTCTTCTCCTTCTTTCTCTTTCATCCCTGCCTGTCACCTCACAGATGGATTCTTTCTCATTTCTCTTGCCTCACTTGCCCAGGTTTATTGACTAGCATCAGTTTAAGGAGCTGGACTTCCTGGGACCTCCTTGGCATCTTGTAGGGTGATTGGAGTGGCCTGAGTACTCAGCTCTTCAGAGGTCAGGTGACCCACTTTCTTTGGTTAATGAAATGTTACTGTCTCCAGGTTAGTAGCTGTCATGAACAGGAAAGGTGGCAAAATGGAAGACCAGTTCCATTGTTCTTTTCATTTAGGGGATTCATTTTTTATCTTGTAATCTTAAGATTTCCTCTCCCCTCAACTTTATAGCAGCCTTAGGCCACCTGCTGTATTTTTCAGTATCCCCTGAAAATTTAGAAATTGGAAATGAGTGTAAAGCATATTGTTTCTTTTTCAAAATCCTCAGAAGCCAAAGGAGTAAAGAAAGAAAAAAGGAAGTGGTGAGGAGGGGGCTTAACTGCTTCCCAGTAAAGACCCTGGAAAGCCCATTCTAGCAGGATAAGTGTTTTGGAGAGTTGTGCATGGGAGCGAGTGCCTCAGTGTTACTCTTTCTTGTTCAGGATCAGTCAGAAAGCAACACAAGTGTTGGCCACCCCTGTTCTCCCTTCTCCCTCTGTCCACTGGCCTGCAATGGTAAAAGCCATGCAGACCAATGGGAAAGGCCCCAAATACAGTGAGTGGAGAATGGGACAGTCATTTTTCAGGAGAATTTAAAAATAGAGATGTATAATACATATTTTTACAAGCAAGAAGCTGTTAAGACTTTTTTTTTTACACTTATAGTTTTGGGGTAGGAAGGAAGTAACTGTAAAAAGAAAAACAAGTGCAGGTTTTCTTTAAAAAAAATAATAGGCTGATGGGACTTGCTATTGAAGGGGTTGAATTTTATGCCCTGGAAAGGGCTGGGAAAAAGCCAGTTTTTCCCAACATGGGTAGAAATTATAAAGCAGAATGTGGCATTTTCACTTCATGGTAGCAGTTCTGGAAGTTTATTTACACAGTAAGTTCTGACCTAGAAGTGGACAGTCTCCAGTCTTCCTGTCAGGCTCTGTAGTTATGGGGTGTTCCCAGTCAGCCAAAGCAGCACCAAGTGCAGTGGGAATGAAGAGAACCCAGATAAAAAACTGACTCAGTATTCTTGTTTTATTGGTTTATGGCTTGTGGGCAGCTGGCTGAGGCCAGGAACAACCAGAGGCCCTCCTTATATTTCCTTCTCCCTTATCAGGTAATTCCACACTTGGCAGGTCCCATACCTGGAAGCAGCATGTTGACCAGATAGGAGTAGGATGCAGTGGGTATACCAGGAAAATCCAGCTCTTCCCACTAACACTGGTACCATAGTTTACTATGCTAGAACTGATAGGGAGGTAATGAACTTGGTCCCCACTACCTAGCCCAAGAACCAGCCTGGGTACCCACGTACCGTTAGGAGCCGGGAGGGGAGAGCAGGATGGCCTTCATCAAGGAGCTCTTGTGGTGGAGAACATAAGGAAGCCCTGAAGCTGCCATCCTTTCTCCAGGCAGCCTTGATACTGAAGGCAATGATGTTAGAGCCAGAAAGCACTGTATTTCTCATACTCCTGGTATAATACTAGTGCCACTGTGTGATGCTTTAGTGAAATAAATGGAGGGGCCATTAGAGAGGGCAGGAAGGCAATGAAACCACTCTGAATTATGTAAAGATCTTGCTACTTCTTATAGCCTAATAGGAAGAAATCCAGGCAGGGGTTATAGGGCATCAGCTGTTGAATGAATCTTCAACATTATGCTTTTAAGGATTAGGAGGAAGAGGTCTCCTACCTATTCCTTTTAGCACCTTGGCTGCAAAGCTCCAGAGGAAGATTTGGGGGAAAGAGTGAACCTGTGACCAGGAAGACAGAGCCCAGCCCTGCTATATAGTCCAGTTGCTCTCTCACAGGGCACCTGGAGCTTAGGGGGTTAGGATATTTCGGTGCTACCTATCATATGTAGAATAAGGGTTCAGGTAGAGACAAGTGAAATTAATATGGTAGAAATTCATGTGTTAAGTGGAACTTTTTAGTGGGCACTTCATTTAAGAGAGCTAAAAAAAGAGCTCTTTGGCTAGATAAGCCCTTCCCATCTCACTTTTGGTCAGGCTGCAACCACAGAAAAGAAAACATTGAAACAACACCCATCCTATGAGATGGGATGCTATCTTGGAGATGAGGTCTAAAACTAGGACTGGTGAGTGGTTGTGTTTCTGCTTTTCCTAGCTTCGATCCCACTATTCCCTGTCTTTGTACTCCCTCTCCTTCTCCTCTTTCCAACCGCCCCCATTTGTATAAATATTCAATCTAGTTTTTTTTTTTTTAATTCAAGAGGCAATCTTTGCACCAATGTTAGGCTTGTTTATACAGTCCCTGTCTCTAAAGCAAATAGCAAACTGTGCATCCTCTCCTACTGACTTTGGCCAGCGGGGAAACAAGCTTGGTCTCTTCTCTGCCAGGGTACCACAGGGACACACACCAGAGTAACCTGGGTGTGATGCCAGTACTTCTGAAACTAAGAAAAGAAGAGTACTTTGGGTTGGAGAAGGAATGGTGGATAAAGGTTCAGGGCTGAAGTTTCAAGCAGCAGAATTTCCCAACTTAAATTTGAGGTGACCAAGAGTTTTCCCGCCACCAGAGTGCTTCTTTCTTCTCTTTTCTATTTCCTACAGGTACAGTCCCTGGAACCCACCTTGCCAGCCTTTTCCTTCTTCTCCATCAAGGCAGAGGCATTTGGTGGGTGGGGAGGGTCCTGAGGTGCTCTGGCCACAGGTGCCATCTGTGTCTCCTACTTGTGACCAAAGTGAACCACGGAGGTGTGGTCCAGGGGAATCTCTATCTTCTGCCCATGGGCCTCCTCACTTCAGCAGGGAGATGTCATCAGCAAAGTCATCATGCTGCTGGCGCAGGCAGCGGAGGCAGCGCCACTGACACACCATGAGGCAGAGTGGCAGCATGAAGAGGGCGCAGATGGCAGCCATGACATAGGCTATGGTCATGAGGGTTGACTCATCTGTTTGTGGAATGTTGTAGCCACAGTCTTCCATGTCCGGGGTGACAAAAGGGCCTTCCACCGCTGCCGTCCTGAACTCATCGTGCACTGGTAAATGTGAATGGACAGCTATCATTGTCATAGAGCAGTTTGGGTTACATAACAAAAAGAACTTCCTGATAGTGAGGCCTTGAAATTAGCCCATGCAGAAGCTATCCAATCTCCTTCCCAGGAGATATTTAGGAGCAGGCTGGGAAGCCAGCACCAGGTGGAGGCCTGTCTCCCCTCCCAAGTCACTGGGAGTAGCAGCCCTTCCTTGTATACCCAACCGATAGGAGTGATAACTACAACTACAACTCAGTAGTTCTGAATTGACCAAAAGCCACACCTAGTAAACTTAGTTTCTGCTGCTGAAATTCAACTGCAAAACCCTGCCATCTTTCTGAAGTAGCATTCAACCTCACCATGTGGCAGCTGACAGGGTCACTATAGGCTCAGCCTGCTGCCCTTGCATCAAGAGCTTCCCAGGGTACACAGGGTACACATAGCTCTTGCTGCTCTGGGTTTCCAACAGAGGTTACCAATCCAGGCAGTGGTCATTATGGCAGGCAGTACAAAAAAAGGATGAGCATTGACACTACCTTTTGCACAATTGTTGACTTGGGTTTGAGGCAACTGTTACTACCCTCCTGTAAACTGACGGGCCCAGGTATACTAACTGTTGTTAGACAAGGAAAATATGGCGAGACTGACCCCAGACCCTCAGCCCTGGCACTCTCACCATGGCAAGCGCTGACAGCAAAGCCAATTCGTTTTCGGGCC